GTATGTATATATGTGTGTGTGTATATATATATATATATATATATATATATATATATATATATATATATACATAGTGCACTATTTACCAGAATATATAACTAGTCGAGCTATAATACAACACACACGCCCTGAAGATTGCGTTCAAGCATGAAACAGACTGCCACCGCTCGGCGTTGACCTTAGTGTCCACTTTTATTGTTTTATATGTATATAGGCTCTATCTCTAATATTGAGCACTTTTAACCATAAATATAGCATACATTAAAACTATATTTTATCATATTATACATATATATATATATATATATATATATATATATATATATATATATATATATATGTTTAGCCGATTAGATGCTAATTTTTTTGTAATTTTTCAAATAAGATATTGTTTATCAGGATATAAATTAATTGATAAACTGTCTAAAGTTCTTTTTGATTTTGTTTCGTTTAAGCGCTTTTGACTACATCGGTCATTATCAAGAACTGGGTGTTATCAGTATGATACATTTTGAATTTCATCCTGGTATCTTTTTATAATTGGAATCTGTAACGGTTAAACAGAAATGTATATATCTAGTCCTGTTGTCATTTTTATAAGTGTACTAATTATATAATACGGATATTAAATACTTTATACGCACTAGGATAGACTAACTTCGGTGGAGAAAGATAATTTATTTATTTTTTGTTTGTATTATAATTGCTTCCGGAATTTTGAGTTTTTCTTCGCAGTGAGTCCTGTATATTATTTGGATAAAATTTTGGCATTATTTATATCTGTTTCAATTTGTTTAGAAAAGACTATCCTTCCTCGGTTCATGTGTACTGGCGCTACACAATTACAGACAAATAACTCAGAAAATACAAGACTTGCAATGACATAAGATGTTGACATTCCACACAACTTCAAACAGAAGGTTAGGAAGGAAACCTCCATCAATACTGAAAAGTGCAATAACAGTGAACTTGAGAAATCTGTTTTTCTAAAAAAAAAAAAATTGTTTTAAGACAAAGATTTTGTAAATTTCAACCTACCGTGGCACTGGCTGCTCGGTCAATGAATACCGACTGTTTCCTTATAAGGAAACGGCTCACATCACTATTACCATTACGATAACTTGTGTCAAGCCTGTTGCCTAATGAAATTAAGTATTTCCCAGAGATCACTGTTCGCGACTAAGCAAAAGACTAATTTTTTCTTTGTCTGAGAATACCAAGATGAAGCTAGCACACATAATGAAAACACAGTGACCGACATATTGTTAATATGTTAATCCTTTTCAAACTGAAATGCATACTGCCAAATAAGTAGCTACTTCCGCAGAACACACACACACACACAAACATATATATATATATATATATATATTTATATATAATTATTAATTAAAAAGAAATTGTCTCTATCGGCCGACTATGACCTAAAGTTTCACGTGCACAATTTTCAGGCAACCGATATTGGTTGATGTGGTACCGATTCCAAATACCTGCTAGGCCGAACCTAAAATATAAAATTCGTGATAGTGTGTGTGTGTGTGTGTTTTGAACAGACACGTCACAAAAAGAAGATGTTTAGCATCAGGAAGAGATAATGAAGAAAGAGGGCTTGGAAAATTTGATATTCACATGACATATGGAAGGCAGAAGGACCGGAAGAAAGAAAAACATAGCCTACCGAGTGAACTGGAGAAAATGAATGGCAGAACAATGTTTACGGAAGATACCAAAAAGACAAAATGTATTAAGAGTTACAAAGGATAGGAAATTATGGAGAGCCATGATCGCTAACATCCTGAAGGGAGATGGTACATAGAAGAAGATTACGCGTTAGTTTCAAATGTGATTCTGTAATGTGCTATTTTGCGAGTCTGCTTTTTATTGCTTCAGTTTTTAGTTATTAAATGTATTTAATATGTTTGTTCTGAAATTGAACTAAACCTTATTAATGCTAGGTTAGTTTTATAGTTTAGGTTTCATATTTATTTTTTTTACAATTTATGTGATATAAAGCTTTTGTTTGATCAATAATAATTATTATTTATGAAGCTATTATCAAATAAATGACGTTAGTCGACGAGATAATGTGCTAATTGAGTAACCAATATATATTTTTATTTGAAGTTGTTATTATTATTAGAAAGACATTCTCCAAGTAGTCAAAAATATGGCATTAACGTGTTGAGGTTTTGATTGTTTTAATTATTGTGTAATTACTAATAGTATATCATTTTTAGTTTTCATAGTTACACACTACGAAATGGATAAAGTCCGACAATAATTTTAAGATATTTTCTGTTTATACTTTATTTTTGTTGGTGCAAATAATTAAGTAAATGCACTGTTTATAAAAAAAATAAAGTATTAACAACATTTTCCGGCATGAACGTCCGAGAAATTTTCATAGGAAATATCTGTTCTCTGACAGGAATCAAACCTGTATCCTACACGGACCTGTCATATAGCCTGACGTGCTATACCAATTTAGATACAGAGGAGCGTCTGGTTAGCAAGGTCGATTTTACTGTTTTTTAAACTACAATCTTTCATGATTTCCCTGGAACGTCCATATCTGCTCGAAGCATATCCAAACGTAAAGAAATGACGTCAGACACTACGAAATAGACAATTCCGACAATTATTTTCAGACATTTTTACGTTTTAGTCATTTCTGATCGTTTTTGTTTGGAAGTATCCAGCGTTGTGTTAACGGAAGATCTGCCAAAAAACGATGAAATTTACCTTGGATGGTTTACCAATCCGTTCTCTTTCTATACATTTTCGCTTTAGTAAATTGCCTTCTCTTTTAATTAAAGTAGAATTTTTCAAAGCGAAATTATGGTTAGACTCATTATGGTGACCGTCTAATGCAACGAGTGTGTTGTTTTGTAAAATATCTCCTTATGCCAATCATTACAGACTAGCGAGCAAGTTATAAGTTACTTTCTCTTTTAATAAGTGTGGCATTCTTTAGATCGAAGTTGCTGTTGAACTTATTTCCGTCTATGACAATTGCATTTGATAAATTGTTGTGTATAAGATCTTTTTTGTGTTTATAGGTAAGTTTTTTTTTTCTGCGAGTTTCTCTAACATATTGCAAAAAAGAACTATATATATATATATATATATATATATATATATATATATATATATATATATATGGGGAAATTTCATGAGAAAGTGTAAAAAGTTTACTTGTGAAAAAATTAAAGGTACTTTCTAGACATGTAGGTGGTAGGGAATTATTTTCTCCTTTGATCATGGTAGCATTTTTTTATCTCAAAGTTCTGGTCAGTCTCGTTACGCTGGGCAACCCATGCATTTGACGTGTTATTTTATAAAATGTTCCTTTTGTGTTCATATAAACTTTTATTTAGATTCCGTGAGGTTTCTCCTATGGATTTTGGTGACAATTATTACAGGTGATGGAGTAAACTCCTCCTTCAAGTTTTAGTTTATTGTTTTATTTAGTATTGGCCAAGTCTTTTATTATTTGGTATGTAGTAGTAACGACTTTTATATTGAGTTTAGACAAATTCTTTTCGATTGTAGATATGATAAAATTAGTACGCAGGATAATACATTTTTGATTCATTGTGTTTTTCAGGAGGGACCGCTTTTTTTTGTTTTGGAAAATTTTGTGTGCCGTTTGTTTCAAACTGAATATAAAATAATTAGGGTACTGAAGAAATTTCAGTATATTTCTCTTCATCGGATAAATAATCCGAACTGCATATTCTTAGAGCGCTTAGAGTAGAATCCGATGATTATGCAGGATTTCATTTTGTTCCTATAATGAGAATAGAACAACAAAATAAAATCCTGCACGATCATCGCATTCTACGTAATCTGTAGCTTGGGTTACCAAGATAACAAAATTAGTCCTATCAAGTCCTGAAGGAGGAAACGAGTCACAAGTAAACATTTCTACTTCGTCATAAAATTTCACCAATAGTGTTTTTGATATATACAAATATATATCGTTATCTCTCTCTCTCTCTCTCTCACACACACACACACACACACACACACATATATACACATATATATATATATATATATATATATATATATAAAGGTGAACATTGAATTCAACACACAGATGTCACTTATATAATGTGATATGTCATGACCTGGCATCTCCAGTGCAGTCAGTTTCTGGAAGACATGATATGGCTTCCCTCTGTCTTTTCTACAAATATTTTCATGGCAACTTCACTGACGAGCTATTTTCATTTGTACCCCAGCTGCATGAATTTAAGCATGCTTTTAAGTTGGCATCTCGGTCCCAACTTTTTACTGTCGAAACAGTTAAACATAACCGCCTACTCCAACAGCTTCTTCTCTTGCACTTCCCGACAGCGAAACTCCTTCTTCTTACTTGCTTCCTGATAACTGTAATCTTCAAAAGATTAAATGTAATGTCAATCGACATATTCTGATGCCTTGATATCGATCCCCGTCCTTATCTTTATCCCCACACACACAAGACATATATATATATATATATATATATATATATATATATATAAATTATGTGAAAATGTTTTTTCCATGGGATAACCAATCACCAGGCCAGATTATATTTTTATAAGTATAAATTGCGCTCGATTCCTACGCATTTACGTACGTAGGAAACGCCTTATTTTCAATATGGACGTAGATTTTTTTTGTACAGATTCATATTTGAACTTTATCTGGGATGCCATATTTGTCATATACATATACTTGATATGCAAACATTCCGATAGTATTTCCAAATTCGTCTTTAATAACAATTTGGACTTTTGAAATAACAGAACTACCAAGGTTTCCTCTTGATAGGATTCATTAATTCGCTTACTTTGGTTTATCAATGCTTTGGATGTTATTTAAAGCCAGCAAATATTTTTAGGTTGAAAGAATTTCTTTTTTGTTAAAAAAACCGACTGTAATTAGAACTCGACTTTCTGATTAACAATTTCGAGCCATTATCGATTACACCAGTCGCATGTACAAGATTATAACACCTGGTATTTCTAGGCGGTCACCCATCTTGCTACTGACCAGGCTCGACGTTGTTAAACTTCGGTGATCGTACAGGAGCTGATGTTTCAACGTGATACGGCCGTAAGCACTTTGCCTCTTAGCATAACTTTAAAAACAATTTCTCTTCCTGAATAAATTGCAGTTTTCGGGTCCTGGTTTATTCCTTACTGAATAACAATTTTATTTTATAGTTTTTATTTTAAAATTTTAGTTATGCTCCATATATTGTGGAATTTTACAGCATTTAAAAAAATATAGCATTAAGTCTAGGAGTGTTTAAATCAATACACACGCATATAACACACGCACACACACACCGGTTCACACACACACTGAAACACACATGGCGGAGTGGTTGCTGGACGACCCGTCTGCGAAACTCTGGAGTCGTGATGCTGAAGTCAATACTAATAAGCTAAGTGACAAATTATATATATATATATATATATATATATATATATATATATATACATATATATATATATATATATATATATATATATATATATATATATATATATATATATATATAAACATTGTGTATATAATGACCTTTAAGTAAAACAAATTTGTTTCGCGTAATCATTAGTTTTCAGGAAATATTGTCTGGTTCAGAGAAAAATGTGCATCCGGTATGTGTGGATTTAATTTACAACCGGATAATTTAATGAGCGTCCTAATTCAGCGGCCAATGAGAATTGGTTGTTGGCTCTGACGTCATTATTGCGTAATGCCTCGCGTGTTCAAAGGCAGGAACATTTCCGAAGTTGTACAATCATTCTACTGTCTGATGTAAACTCATGTGGTTTTGTATTGATCATGCCACACATCTGTGTCCGTCTCGACGCAAGTAAATGAAACGAAACCGATATAATACGTTCTTTTATACATTTTTAAAAATCGTTTTCAAGTAGATTTCAAAACTGTAGTTCATTAGACATAAAAGAAAATAATTAAATATACAAATCAAGCATTTAGAAATATTCTATTTGGCTTTAATGTACAGCTTATTTAAAATACAGAAATTTTGATAGGAATAAAATTCAAGAGCTGCATGTAGCACAGTTAAACATTCGTTTTCGAAACCCTGGAGTCGGGTTGTTGAATATAACATAAATGAGCTAAGTGATAAATTTTATATTTGTGTTAATCATAATGTGATATGCCATGACCTGGCATCTCGAGTGCAGTCATCTCTCTCTCTCTCTCACTCCCTCACACACACACACACACACACACACACACACATATATATATATATATATATATATATATAAAAGGTGAACATTGAAGTCAACACTCAGATGTCAGTTATATTTGTGTTAATCATAATGTTATATGTCATGACCTAACATCTCCAGTGCAGTCACTTCCTGGAAACGATGATGTGGTTTCCCTCTGTCTTTTCTATAAATATTTTCATGGCAACTGCACTGACGAGCTATTTTCACTGGTACCCCAGCTGCATGAATTTAAGCATGCTTTTAAGTTGGCATCTCGGTCCCAACTTTTTACTGTCGAAACAGTTAAACATAACCGCCTCTTCTACCAACAGCTTCTTCTCTCGCACTTCGCGACAGTGTAACTCCCTTCCTCTTACTTGCTTCCCTGGTAACTGTAATCTTCAAAAGCTTAAATGTAATGTCAATCGACATATTCTGATGCCTTGATATCGATCCCCGTCCTTATCTTTATCTTTTCCTCAGACACCCCTCTATTGTCTTAATTTCACTCTCTGTAACCCCTTGCGTATAAGTGACACACCCGCTTTTCTTGGGGTGAAATGTTTATATATATATGTAGAAATATAGTTTTAATGTGTGCTATATTTATAGGAAAAAGTGCTCAATATCAGAGATAGAGCGTATGTAAATATAAATATAAAAGTGAACATTAAAGTGAACACTCAGAGGCGACAGGATGAGACGTTGCCACCAACTAGTACTACGCTTAAATTTATAAAGTCTATTTATTTTGAATAATACAAACATGTGGCACAAGGCCAGAAGGAAAGTATAGCGGGAAGGTTGGTCTTCAATCTGACATCTTAAACTTAGCTAGCCACGATTATTGATCCAAACCTACCACAGTATTCCTTACGCTAAGACAACACATTATTACTTACCATTCTTACTACAGTCACCATAATACCTCGAAGTCTCTATGTAGTCCTAACTAGTTCCCATAGGTACAAGTTGTCTGGGGGATGGGGGATAAAAATAACACCGGAAAATTCACTAGAACAATTACCATGAAAGTATTTATAGAAGAAGTACAGGGAAATTACGTTACGACGGTGAGGGGGTGACTGAAGCCGAGATGCCAAATCAGGACCAATAATATTGCTGATTCTATCAAAAATTTCTTGATATATAGCAGGTGCATCAGACCATATGTGGCAGCATTATTCTAAGCATGGGCGGATGGTAGACTTATACATATGTAAGATAGATTCTGGCGCAAAAAAACTCTCTAGCACGACACAGTGAACCAACTTTCCTAGCAGCTGACCTAGCAATTGATTCAATATAATCTTTCCACTCTATGTCAGAAGAAATGGTTAGCTCGAGAAGGCGAAATGATGAGTCACTCTCCTGCGATGGTAATGAGAGATAAAAATATGAATATATGCAATTCGTAAAAAGTATACGATTTAATATATCTAGGCACACCTTGTGAGTTGTATATATTTTAAGAGAAGTTAAGATTACTATAATGAACCGGCGTGTTTTATATTTCAAGTTGAGAATCAACGGCAGTAAGATGACGAAGGAGAAAGTCACGTCTGTGTTTCTTTTTTTGCTTGAGAGAGAAAAACATAACATATTTTCAGATAAGACTGCCATTGGTGACGAAAAATGAATTTATTACCAGATTCAGAAACGAAAAGAATGGCGGATCGAAGAAGACCTGATTTTTTTTTGTTTTTTATTTATTTATTTATTTTTTTACAATTTCATGAAGGTTTCTGCTATCGTAAAGCAAATTATCAGGTAGAATGAATGATTAGAATAATTGTTTTACTAAATTTCACAAAGTACATGGCTCGAGAGAGTTACTGTGAAAATGTTATCGATGGATGAAGTATGTGACATGATTGAACGAGAGAAGAGCGACAGAATAAAGATTGATTCGAGATTCAAAGGGCTCAGAGAAGCTGGTCCATAAAGTTGAAGCTCTTGGAAAGAAAAAGAAAACTGTCTTATATTTTGGAACACGGAGGAAATTAGGCTTATTTTAAAAGATAAAAAGAGAAAGAGAATGCAGAGAGACGTTGAATAGTGATTTGTGCAGACAAGTAGAAAAACTGAAAGAGAGACACTTATAAAAAGTAAAAAATAAACAAAATAATGAATGAAGAAATGAAAGAAAGAAGGAACTAAAAAAATAAAAAGAAAGAAATTGGGGACATAGAAAAAAGACATCAGACGAACAGGTAGACAGACGCTGTTGAAATCGAATACTTAAACATATAGGAGGCGTAGTTTTCTTTTATATGAACGTTTGTCAATCACCTCCGTATGTTAATTTCGTTTCGTTAGAGATTCAAGTCGCTACTAATAACAGTGTGTTAGAACGTCACTCATTGCTGCCTTTGTATATAGAAGTAAAAAATGAACGTGCTTCACTTGTTCGGTAGCCGATGTCTGTTTGAAATTTGAATATATTTGTTGACATTCCTTTAGCCATATTTTCTATCACACATTATATTATAGTGATGATATGCGTGTCATTTCTTGAGATTTGTCTCTTCTGTAAGTCTTTTACGAAATATTCAATGAATGGTACCCACTTTGATTGAGTTATTCTTTTGAAACATCTTCAAAGTGTCTACAGAAGCATTAACGATTTTTACGTCATTTGTAGATAGTTATATGCATACACTTTTTAGGTAGTCATATATATATATATATATATATATATATATATATTTGTGATGTCAACGAACACTTGTCGCCACTTTTGTAATGTCAATGAATACCCGTTGTGACTTTCGTAATGTTTGTTGTAGTAGAGCACAGATTACAACTATAGTCCGCCGTTGAACAATAATGGCGTCAGACGCCTTCGAATAACACTCGCACTAATAGTACTTGCTCGATAATACTCGCTCGAATAGTAACCACCAAATAGTGATCCGTATAGTGATAAGTATATAGAAATAGTGTAGAAATAGTTAATAGTATAGAGAATACCGAGCCGTATAGTAATAGAAGATAGAATAGAAATGGTGATCCGGATAGTAATAAAGGATAGAATAGAAATGGCGATTAATTAGACGTCACGATACTCCCTATTTATAGCTTTTCTTTGTGATCACGTGATCTACTTATTCAAAATGGGATCACCTGTCTTTGCTCTCTGGCGATCTATGTTCAAATTCCAATGTCAGTAGCGACACTGAATTCCTATATAACATATAAATGGTGTTTCATTACGACAGATTATATATGAGGGTGTTTCATTAAAGCGGATCAAAGTCAGTAATAAATAAATCAGTTTTATTGGTGAAAATTTATTTATTTCTCTATTGTATCGTGTTATTTAAGCCATGACAATTATGTGTGAAAAATAATATCGCCCAAATGTCCGCCAAATCTGAAAGATAAAGAAAAAAAAATCATTAAACACTCAAACTTAATTCACATTAAAATCGGTCCAAGTTACTGAAACACCCTTTATATATATATATATATATATATATATATATATATATATATATATATACGACCGTGTATGACCACTTCTTAAACTCGCTTCGAATCATTTCAGATTTTCATCTTCTCGCTCGTGTCGTCTAACATGACTCTTACGTCTTGGCACTGATTTTGCACATGAGACCACATGATGTACATGTTACTGACCACTGGCTGGTCTGGTTGTTTTGATTTAAAATGCCTTGTTAGGCCGCTAAAATTTCTGAATACCTTGCAAGTCAAGTTTTCCTTATATCCCCTTCCTGGTAGAGGTGTCACCCCTTCCATATACCTAGCTACACTCAACTTTTCTGCATCTTCAATCCACCTTTCCTGAAAGCCTTTCACGGCCTTCATGATGTCATCCCTCCATCCATCCATCTTTGTC